GGTGATGTCGGAGTATGCGTAGATGAACCGGCGGTAGAAGTTACAGAAGCCAAGGAAGGATTGCACATCCCGGACTTTCCGGGGGACCGGCCAGTCGACGACGGCCGAGATCTTCTCCGGTGACATTGTAAAGCCCTCCGGTGAGAGAATATACCCCAGATACTCGCAGGTTGTGATGCTGAACTCGCATTTCGATAGTTTGCAGTAAAGACCCTGCTCCCGGAGACGCCGGAGCACTTCTCGAACATGGGCTTCGTGCTCGGTGGGATCGTCAGAGTAGATGAGGATATCATCCAAATATACGATGACGTTCACGTCGAGGAGATCGGCGAAGACCGTGTTCAAGAAGCGCTGGAAGGCGGCCGGTGCATTGGCCAGCCCCTCCGGTACGACCTTAAACTCGTAAGAGCCATAGCGCGAGCGGAATGCGGTCTTCCACTCATCACCCGGTGCGATCCGGAGGAGGTGATATGCGTGCCGGAGGTCGAGCTTGGTATAGATTCGTGCTCTTCCAGGTGCGTCGAGTAAGTCAGAGATGAGCGGAAGAGGGTACCGGTCTTTCTTAGTGATCCGGTTGAGTCCCCGGTAATCGACACACAACCGGAGGGACCCGTCCTTCTTCTTGGCGAACAATATTGGTGCTCCATGACTCGACGTTGACGGATATATGAATCCCGCCTTAAGGTTCTCGTCGAGGAATTTCCGGAGTGCCGATAGCTCATTTGCAGACAGAGAGTAGACGTGGCCGATAGGGGGAAGTTCACCATCGAGGGTCTCGATCTTGAGATCGAACTCGCGATGGGGAGGGAGGTTGTAGGCATCCCTCTCAGAGAACACATCGGCGAAGTCGTGGTAGGTCTCCGGTATACCGGTCATGTCCGGTGGATCCAGCGAAGCAGCGCGTGCTGTCATCTCTTCGGACTGACAAGCCCGAAGAGTGTATTGGCACGTATCAGGGTGTTTGATGATGGTTCGGAATGCTGCTGCGCTGACTAATGCAATGGGTGGTGCCTTCATGACGACCGGTCGAGGATTGGTGACCGGTAGAACCGAGGAAGGACCGGTGGATACCGGTGGAAGTCCTGCGACATCAGGCGCAGGCCCGGTAGTTTCCATCGAAGGAGCTGGACCGTCCATAGAAGGACCAATGATTGGAGTCTTCAACCCGGTCGGTGAAGGCCCACCGGTAGGATCATACCTAGCCGGTCGTGCCCGGTCCGTATCCGGACCTACCGAAACAGATGCCAGCTTCATAGCTGACGGTGTCGACGTTGATCTCTCCCCAGTAACAGTGGTACGGAATGTGATATTGGTTGTTTTCCAGTCAATCGACGGATTGAAGCTATGGAGCCAATTGTATCCCAGAACCATGTCGCAAGGAGAATCAAGACGGGTGACGAAGAAATCCTGGAGGTGGACATCGCCGGAAGGGAACCGGATGAGTAACCGGAGCTTCCGGTCGATTATTGAGGATGATCCATCGAGATACCGGAGTCTTACGGGGGGAACCGAATATGGAACAAAATGATTTATTTGCACTATTTTATCGGAGATAAAACAGTGTGATGATCCGGAGTCGATAAGTGCTCGTAAGAGGGAGAGGAATCCCGACGAGAATTTGGATATAAGCGATGGAGGGATGGTTGAACATTCCTCCGGCGGGTTGAATTTGGGACTGAGTGTAGATGGAGCGAGATCGATATATAGGGCATTGGGAGAAAGAGCAGAAGCGTTGAGCCGGACCTCCGGTAGATCCCCGGAGTCAACGCAACCCGGTTGGGGATCAGAGGTATGGACCGAGTTGCGCTCTAATTTTTTGAGGTTTCCGGTGTGTCCTGGGACGACCGGTCGGCATGCGCGAAGCGACCGGTCGCACCGGTGTCCTTGGGCTTCTTCTTGCAATCGCTCGCCTGATGACCGGCGCCACCGCAGTACAGGCAGAGGTTGCCTGCAATGCGACGCTCCCGTTTGGACTGCTTGATCTTGCCATCAGCTCCAAGCTTGTCCACGTATGAAGGTGGAGGCCTTGTCTTGGAGCTGAATTGACCGTTGGTGGCTTTGACGTTTCCACCGGTCGCGGCATTGTTGTTATTGTTGTGGGGTTTGGACGATTGTCCACCGCGGCCGTTGTCCTGCTGCTTGCCAGAAGGTTTCCCAGATGACCGGTCGTTTGACCGGTCGCCGGTCTTCTCACCGTAACCGGTGGGAGAAGACCAGGGATCCTTCCCTTGAGCGCGAGCTTTCTCAGCTTCGCGCTTATGGTAGCGAGCGTCGACGATACGAGCCATTTGCTTGACTCCCATGAGGGTGTTGTCATAGTGGTGGTGGAGCATCTCGTTCTTGATCCGGTCCGGTAGACCTTCGTAGAAGGTGTACCGGAGGGCGTTATCACCCCACTTGGTGAGCGAGGCGTAGGTGTCGAACGACAAGACGTAAGTGGCGATACGATCTCCGTGTTTCATCCTGATCGCGCGGATCCGGTCTTCGGCATCACCGACCGGATCGTGTGGGCCGAAGTTGAGCGTGATTTCCTCGATGAAAACCGGAAAGTTTCCATCCCATGCCGGTACGTTGTCCGGATCATAGAGATCCGGAGAGAACCACTGCAAAGCGATTCCCCGAAGGTACGAGATGATGAACAAGATTTTATCGGTGTCGGAGGGAAAATCCTGCTCGCGTTCGGCGAAGTGGAGATAACATTGGGTGAGGAACGGAGCGAGTTTAGCCGTGTCCTGGCCATCGAACGGATCCGGGTTCCGGAGGTTCGATTTGGTCGACCGGGGACCGGCAATCGTCCGCTTGTTGAACATCTCGAGAGATTCACCGAATTTCTCGATGAACTTCTCGAACTTGATGTCGAGAGAGGAAGGTGGAGCTCCGCGACGGGGAACCGGTACATGGAGCGGTCCACCGGGTCCTCCGGGCCCACCGGGTCCAGGGGGACCAGGCGGTCCAGGGGGTCCTTGAGGCCCGCCGGGGCCTTGAGGTCCTCCAGGGCCATGAGGCCCTCCTGGACCAGGGGGACCACCCCCACCATGCCCTCCTGGTCCTCCAGGGCCTCCGGGACCACCAGGTCCTGGAGGGCCCGGTGGCCCACGGTTTGAACCGGGTGAACCTGGAGGGCTTGAAGGTCGGCTAGGGCCATGCGGGCCCGAGCCTACAGGACTAGCGGGACGGCTGGGGCCGTGGGGACCGGAGCCGACCGGACTAGCTGGGCGACTAGGGCCATGAGGCCCTGAGCCGACCGGACTTGCGGGTGGTGGAGGAGGAGCCGGAGAGCCAGCCCTGCTTCCACCGGTCGACTGAGGGTGACCGGTGGCGTCTGCAGGGCCCGCCACGCTGCCTGGAGCCGGATGAGAACTTCCCTCATCAATAGTGGAGAGGTGAGTGTCGGCTCCGAGGGGCGCAGGCGAGTAGGCAGGGCTGAGGATGAACTGCGGTAGTTCATTCGGGGATGGAGTGATGTATGCCGAGTCCGGTTCTTCACCGGGTTCCGGTGTGAACTGGGGACCTTGAATCGGCGTATCACGGTGCATGATGTGACCCGGGGGATAGTTACGGGACCGGGTCGGATGAGGTGAGACCGGGTACCGGACCGGGTTCTCGGGCGTCCGGGGGTTGGGTTCAAGCCCAGCCAGGTTCTCCGGACGGAGAGCAGGGTTGGAGGTGCGTCGAACCGTGATGTTCAGGGGCACCGGAGTCATACGCATCCCAGGAACGTGTGACGTCGCCGGCACGCCCATCACGTTGGTAGGTGACAGGGACTGTGACGGGGACGACAGAGGGATGATTCCTCCGAACAGCCGGGACCGGCGGCGAGCTTCACCGACCGGTGGCTCAGGGTTCGGGTTCGTGGGGGCGTAGTGTGACATTGGACCAAAGGATAGTTGAGTTTGTTAATACTGTTATATCCGAGCGGGGATATAGGAGTCTAGCCGACCAGTCGGACAGAACTCAGGTAGAGTATCGACCGGAGAGGGGTCGTGACCGGTGTTGACCGGAGGACTAGATATCGCAACGCCACAGAGGGGTAGGGCGAGCGACACTATCCGTTGATCCCAGGAGAGGACCGGATGGGGGGACAAGACGACCGGTGGAGACCGGTGACTCGGATTGCTGCACAGGGAAGGTGAAGCAACGTTTATTAACAAACTGAAGAACAAGGTTGTAGAGTACGAGATTATATAGTAGTGAAGCTTATTGTATAATATAAGGGGAAAGATAAAGCGTCCATGTGGATGTAACAATAGGGACAAGAACCCATATGGGGTTAGAAGTTCAAACACAATAGTAGAGAAACTTGAACAATAAGAAAGAAGACCTAGCACCACATGGCTGAGGGCCAGCTGGTGCTATGGTGCTACTATGGCGCCATACGATGTCCACGAGGGTACCGGTCGTGACCGGCACCGGTCGCTGACCGGTGCTACCGGTCGTGGTCTTGAGTTGTCGAGGCGCATTTCTGAAGGTTGGTTGTGCATGGATATAACAGCAAGTTCGATTCTTACCGTCGAATATCCTTTTAAATACCGCGGTCTATCGCATCAAACCTGCCACATGTACGCTCACTGCCAGCCAGTGGGCCTACCGCTGCTAGCAGTGATGTACTTGGCCGCTGGATCCAAATGACTTACGGGTGGGAACCAGAGTGTCATCAAACCGTCTGGTTTCCGGCTTTCGATCGGATTGGCGTGTAATGGGAGAGATTTAACAGTAGGAGAGAGAAAATGTGGATATCAGGAGTTAGGCGTCGAATGGTCGGAAGAGCCAGATCCAATTGCCATAAAATCTAGCGGATTGGATTGATTTCCCAGTAACCCAGTGCTTCAAGTTCTGTGCACTGTGGTGGACGCGGTGTGGACCGTGGGCTCGGCGCAATAGAGGTTCCCGTTGCGCGTTGAAAGCCCGGGATTTTTAGCCACAGCCGTGCCTCCTCTTCGCCTTTGCCGCTGTCTACAGGCAGGACCCAGCTTGAATGGACCCTTCACCAGCTGTTTTGTGCTTCTGTAGTTCAGTTGGTTAACGTCCCAACTGACAGATCGCCCGGTTTCCGGGCGGTCGAGGGTTCGAATCCCTTGGAGGCATTGTTCGGGCCGTGCAGGTTGGGCCGTGCCCGGGACCAAAGAATTGGTAGCCATTGCGTTTCAGGGTTAGGATGCGTTCTATCGGTCGGCGCTATCTCCTACCTCAGGCATTGCCTATTATTTTTGAGCCTTTTATGTTCAGAGAAAGAGTTCGTTGATCGTAGATTCAGCACAGCATCGATTACTGTGAGTATAGTAGTAGCGACAAGTGTACTGAACAACGACTACCCTCAGGCTCCGCAAGGGAGGGGAGAAGAGGGCTTGAGTCCGATCCCTTTTCCAATCGCATTTCCGAGGTTGATATCGACCTGAGTGCATCGAAGACAATTAGCTACATATCTATGCGGTTGAGAATAACGAAGACTGACACAAGCAAACATGTTCACCGAGCGCTGGGCGAAACAATCAGGCGCACGTCGATTGGACGAGACTGAATCTCACCTGCTTAACCTGTTCGACTGTTACAAGCTTCAAAGCCGTGATGACATTCGCAACTACCGATTGCCTCTCTTCCTCCGTGAATTCCTAAGTGGAATTGAATTGTCGTTACACAGCGGCGTGAATTCTCATATTGCTTACTTTGTTATACAACTCATTCGGTTGCTCGAAATCCGCGCGCGAAAGCTGATACGACGACAAGACCGTCGGGGGTCCCACGATGGGATCTGCAATGGCAGATAAATTGTACGGTCGTTGCGGGAAGGATACCGGTGGTTGAAACGAAGATGGATAGTTCGGTGCCGAGGGGGGTAGAGTGCCTGCGCCACCGTCGACACGCATCCATCCCGCGCCTGCGAATTTAATTAGTCCATAGCTGTAGCGTAGGAAAGGACGCGATACGCACGCTGGAAATTCTGCACGGCCAAAGGACAGTTCACGGGTATCTGCAGATGATTGGGTCCAAGGCGATGGCGTGCGGTGTCCGAGTACCTATAATGCGTGAGATGAGGCTGCAAAGAGAGATCGCTGCCACTTACGCAAAGAGACGGGACTGGAGGACCGGATCGTTCGAGGGTTCAACCTAGTTAATTCGGAAATTAGTTCATTGCGGTACTTCGCAGTATTTCGCGCCATACCCCAGGAGGCATATTTCCCGGGGAGAAAGACACTGGGATAAATCAGCCTCGAGAGGAGAAGACAGTACGGCACATACGCTGTTCAATCTCTGCAAACCTGATATCAGATGCATGATATAAGTATTAATCATACCAACTTCAGCTTTCAAACACGTACCAGTTCTCCGGATTTGTGTCCAATACGATTTTCGCTACTTCCACCAGCGGGAATTGATCTTCGGGCCACACTTTCGTCAAATCATTCTGGTACAAGTTGGCCTCGCGGAAGGTACAGGGGGGAGAACACGCACGACATCGTACTTGTACTTTTGGCCTTCCTCCGGGGTCATGGTCTGGATAGCTACATGCCAGGTCGGGAATTTGCCTGAAGCAATGCGATCCCTGATGTACTATGAGTTGAATAGATTCTGTGAACGAGACCCGACTTGCCTTAGGTCTTTGGTGTTGTGGTCAGGGTTGCTGGCCGCCAACGCCTAGGTTCTGGTGTCAAGAACACGACTCGCAGACGAGCTCGTTCTGTGGCGACTAACCAATGCTTCGTCCGCAGTCAAATTATCTATCCCTTGCTGCGAGATAACCTTTATCTTGACGTAGTGCCATTTGGGATCGGAACAGTCGTTTGAGTTGTAGGGCGCACACGAGACAAATTTGTACGTGTGGCCGCTCCAGCCATGCATCTATCCAGCGGTTAGCTGAGCCAAAACTCCAGCTTTTTATCACAAACCTGCGCCCAAGAACGGGGAGCTGCAATAGCAATGTTAAAACTCGTTTCGATGCTGATGCCGGCATTTAAGTTGAACATTCAACTTACTCCCACGGTTGGAAAGCAAAATGAGAACTTGATATATCGATTCCTGGTTCCTATGAAGTCCGTGTCACCGGAGATCCGAAAGGAAAAGTCAATCGTTCGTACTGCGACCAATAATCCCTATAGGACGGCCTTGAATTGGAAGTAAATGCGATTTTATGGTTCAACTTACCATTGGATTGTCGGGGATCGAAGGTTAGTCTGGGGATCGCGCTTTTGACTAGACGACCGAGTGAGCAACTTCCGCGAGTCATGGAGTATCCACACACCTGTGGATAAAGAGAGGGAACTTCGTGGGATCACGGAGGAAGAAGACGGGAGTATTGTTGAAAACTGCAACCGTGTTCGATTAGGGCATTAGGGATGAAACACTGGATACCTACCCCAGTCCCAAATCCCCATCTTTGTGGATGCTCCACAGTTAGTAAACGCTGCCGTTTTCAATGCAGAGCCTTCAGTTACGAACCGATGTTTTCATCTTGATGGCGAATCTGTTTGAAAACCATCAGTGAAGATACGCCACGGTGCAGTGAGGTAAACTCACCCTCGAGGATCGCGGTTGGTATCTGGGGTCCCAGATTCGCCTGCAACGGTGGAAAAGCGCATGGTCAAGGGTACTCTTGTACCCACTCCTTGCGAAAAGGGAGCGGCCATGGTAATCTGATAGTCGAAGTTGAGGGAAGGTACTTCGAGGCAATGAATACTGAATACTTACATTGCTGATATCGCGGGTGACTTCGAGCTGAGTGGCGGTTCAGACGATGAATGAAGGCGAAGGAAGGAACATCTACATAACCGTGAGCGCCACTGCCCTTCGCGTGGACAACCTGGATTATAGTGTGAGGGATATTCGATCTCGCAGAAAAGAACTAACCCTCTCAGGAATTCGTTCGCGCCCGAAATGGCTCAGTAAATCGATGAGATGGAAGTCCTGTTGTCTCGCGAGTCAGCTGGAACATCGACCGATGAGTGTTTACTCACCTGAAGCAATAATGGTCCCCTCTATAAAATATGGGTCAAATTAGGACGATTGAGCGTCGGGACCAGTACGAACCGTTCCTGCAACATCGAAAAAGAGTGAGATTACTGCAGAGAACAGTTCAAGAGAATGGAAGTTCGTACCGGCTCTCTGATAATCGTACGGAGATGATACTGGGTGTCCTCCTCCATCCTTGACGGGTTCAGTATCGATATATTCCAAGACTCGACTGAGGACTGACCGTATAGACCGGCGGCCCATTGGTGTCGTTGCTAGCAAGAGCCCCGTGTGCCCAAGCCGTCACCGTAATCAGAGGTAGAAACAACGCTCGGGCGGTAGAAACCAAAGACAGGCTCGAGTGCTTGACCATCTTGAGAGTGAGTGATGGGTCGGTCTCTGACCTGCACTCTGAAAGAGGGTCGAGTTATATAGGAATCCAGCGCCCGAAATGGCCTTCCAATCCGAGTATGCTGTTTGACGCGCGGTAAATATCGGCATCGGTGGGCGGAAAGCGGCGGAAGGGTAACTACGATAAAAAAGGGGGAAGTGCTCCGAATTGACCGCAGAATTGAGAGAGATGGTGACGGTGACTTGACCCCAAAGAGAATAGTCCAAGCGCGGCGACTAGTTTTTGTAGCGGACCTGCACTAGAGGTCGGCCACGTATTCGCGGTTGAATGCAGAGCGTCGAATAACATTCCATTCCAGATCCCGAGTAAGATCGCGTCGGGCAAAAAGGTCGAAGGAACACCTATCATAACGGATATATCTCACCAAGCCAATTTGAGGTCAAGGTTATTTCAGCTGCACGGCATACCGAACTGCCCGCAATCCAACCGTCAGCGAAATAAATGACTTCCAACAGAAAACCGATCAGAATGTGAAAACGCATTGACAAAAAAAAACATCAGAAGAGGAGGTCTGCTCAAAGGTGGAATCGGTTACGGTACCTTGCACAAATGATACCTCGTACTGCATGCGCAACTTCAATGGTGGTCATAATAATCATCTGGCCGTAATCCCTGGGTACCCGATAGTGCGGCGCGTAGCAGGGCGTCCCGGTCAAATAAAATAGCGCACTCCGTTCCTAGATGACAGGATGCTGAGGAAGAGCATGGATTCAAGACGACCAGTGGCGTGCTGAGATGCTTTGAAGGATGTGATTTTACGCCCCTACATACAGCTCGCATCGTGATCTGTGAGCGACGGCATCGGGCTTGCATTCAGCGCTGATCATACGGCGGCGGGCCGTTCTGCATTTCTCGGGGTCAAGGACCGCGCACGATGTGAGCCAAGAACGCCGGGGGACCAGCACATGGGTCGAGTGCGCCAGAACATGAACACCGGTCGTCTGAAACACCGAGTGCGGGGTTCCAGGTCGGAGAGACCTTGAGATGGGATGTCGCCTGGACCGTTTCTGGCCGACGGAAGAACGACACCAGGAGGATATCCCTGGGGAATTGGACCGGGAATCCACGGTGAGTGACCGGATTGAGAAAGTTCCAAGTCACGATGTGTCACAGCAAGACTCGGAACGAGCGTCGCTGCGTCGTTGTGAGCGTAATGTGTTTGAAATCGGTTCGAATCTACATCTATAATTACCGGGATACCCAACCGTGTATGATACAGGGTATAAAGTCAGGTTCATCCCACCACCCAAAATAAAATAATTTTCCGCGTCACCACTGTGAACGAGAAGTAAGCGCCTCGAACGACAGCACAGATATGCAAGACATACCGGATGGCACTCGCCCCCGTCCCACGTCCACACGCGCTTCGCATCCCCAATTACCATCTTCGCGAACTGCATCCCATTCCCCGCCTCGACGTGCTTCATCCACCACCGCACCACCCAATGCCGCGTGATCCACTTAAACCACACATAGTACTTCCACTCATACGCGTTGATGACCCGCGGGTTGAGGTAGATGCGCTGCAGGTCGAACTGCCGGCGGAGGTCGTACGGAAAGTTGAACGACTCGGAAGAGAAGCACTCCTTGTCGCCCGACCGGCGGAATTTGAGCGGCGGCGTCTCCGCGGGCGTGAGCGCGGCGGACTGTGGGTACGCGGGGTGCGTCTCCGGCAGGGGTTTGGGGAGCGGAGCGGTGGAGAGGCGACCGGGGGTGCGAAGGGCGGGG